CAATGTGAAAAATAAGCGTCATAATACGTCTCGTATTTTTAAGGCATTAAATATATTTTTATATAAAAAAAATAGATTTTTTACAAAAAAAAAATTGGGCAGCATAATGCGCCCCTAGGCGGAATAATGCGCCCATTAGGCGCGCCTAGACTGGATTAGATGCACGCATTGCGCCGTCTTCTAGATGGAAAACGCATTTTCCCGCACATTCCAGAATTCGACGCGTTTTGACCGCGTGTCACGTCTAGGCGGCGCATTCGCGCGCATTTTAAAACACTGTATAAAAAGAGTGATGATGAGTATCAGTTATATGACAATAGAACAATAAGTAATATTCATCATCGCTGCTGATTATTATCAGTTTATGTGACAGCAGAACAGTGATGATGAATATCACTATTTCGGACTAGAGACTTTATCCCATTATTTGTTCCATCTTATCATAGCTAGTCCCCCGTTCCCCACTTCAAAGATTCCAATGACAATCCAACAACTTTTTCAAGTCCTCTTTTATCCTTTCCCAAAGGTTCCTATATATCTCATTTTTCTCAAACTTTCCACACACAAAAACACAGATTTTCTGGCAAACCCAAGTAGTGTAACCTTAGGCAACAAAACCAATCTTCCTCATGCCAACAGTTCGTTCTAGTCCATTCCACCAAATGGAAAACCCTGCCTTACTATCATTCCTTCAACGAACCACTCATTCCGGAAGCAAGAAACCTAAATCAGGCAGCGGTGGCGGCCTTGTCCGCATGTTCAAACTCCTCCCCATGTTAACCACCGGCTGCAAAATGGTTGCACTCTTGGGCCACCAAAGAAAGCCTTTACTAACAGACGGCGCCACCACTGGGACCATCTTCGGATATCGTAAAGGACGAATAATTTTAGCCATACAAGAAGATCCTCATCGCATGCCGATCTTTGTCATAGAACTTCCTATTCTCACAACTGCATTTCAGAAAGAAATGGCATCGGACATACTCCGAATCGCCCTTGAAACTGAGACAAAGACACACAAGAAAAAAGTCTTGGAAGAATTTGTGTGGGCGGTTTATTGCAATGGTAGAAAATTTGGGTATTCCATTAGGAGAAAAAATATGACAGATGATGAACTTCATGTTATGCAGCTTCTAAGGGGAGTTTCAATGGGTGCAGGTGTTTTGCCAAGTCCATGGGAGAAGGAAAAAACAGCAGCTGATGGGGAAATGACATATATGAGGGCAAGATTTGATAGGGTTGTGGGATCAAAAGATTCTGAATCATTTTACATGATAAATCCAGATGGTGCATTGAGACAAGAACTTAGTATTTTTTTTGTAAGANTTTACATGATAAATCCAGATGGTGCTATGGGACAAGAACTTAGTATTTTTTTTGTAAGAAAGTAATAGGAACGTGTAATAATAATATCCTACTAATGTGAAAAAGTTGCTCTTGATTTGCACTTTTGAGTTTTTGTTTTTTTGTTGTTGTTTTTAAGGAGATATTTGGCTTAGACTATGGACATAGGTGACTTACTCCTCCATACTTCTTAATTCCTATTATTTAAACTAGTCTAGTACATTATTTTAATCTCCAACATATTTAGCCCAATATTTTATGTTTAGGAACATCATTAAGGGAAGCATAGAGATTCTCAAGAAATATTAAAAAAAATGGACAAAATGAGTGTGAGGATATGGGTGGGGGACTTGTGTGTATACATGTATGTTGGGTATACGATCAAAGTCCCACATTGATTAGAAGTGGGGATGATCATGGGTTTTTAAGGATGGACAAATATCCCCATTGGTATAAGGCCTTTTGGGGGGTAAAGCCTAAAAGCAAATCCATAAGGGCTTAAGCCCAAAATGGACAATATCATACCAATGTGGAAATATGTGGCCCATAGCTCAACAAATGGTATCAGAGCTTGATGGGGTGTCAAAATTGAAGGAAAAATCGTGAACAAAGTAGCTGAAGAAGAACAGTGAATTTTTTCACAAAATTTGGACCTGCAAATCGACTTTCTGGACAAACGACTGACTTGTTGGAGAAACGGATGCCAGATTCGGACTCAGCAAGCGAAAAAGAAGGTGGCTGACCGGCGCGTGGTGGTTGGAGGCAGCATGTAGAGATCCCGTGACGGCGCGTGCAGGGCGCATGAGGTGGAATCTTGCGAAGGTTTCTTCAGACAGAATTTTTATTTTGATATTTCTAACCTTCGTATATTGTTAGTTTTTCGTTTTAGGTACTGCAGCGAAAGTTGGATGATTTTGCCCTTGATTGGTCGTCGGTCGAAATTGCTACATACATTTACCGAATTACTTTAGGCTAAAGTAGCTGCCTTAAAGCAGTAAATTCACATATCTCCTATTTTACGGACTACAGAACTGGTCCGCTCTGGTAAATTAGCTTAAACATTTACATTATCGCACTAGCAGATCATCGTGTGAGGTGATCATTAGGATTGGGGGTTGCCATTGTTTGGTAACCATTGCTTGTTGGTAGACCTAGGAATATTTGCCATTATCTGTTTAATTTTTAAGTGAAATTACTTATTTATTGTCTTTAGATTTATTTGTTGAACGTTGTTATCTCATATTATTTTAGACTTGTGCCCGGATTCCTATTCCAGTTTCTTCCCTTGACCTGAGAACACAATTATCACGGAATCCCGGGATTCTAGAATAGCGTATTATTGTGAAACCATATAAATCTTGTTACTCTGTGTAATCTGCGTGACCTGTGCCTTTTACATATCATTTGTGTTCTGTGCATTTTTTTATAAGATGTCAACACATCACTTCGAGTTGGGTGTCGTTAATGGTAAATGAGATTTTTCTATTTGGCAACAAAAAAAATGAAAGGTATTCTTGTTCAACAAAGAGTCTCTAAAGCTATTGATGGCTCTTTTCCTGCAAACTTGACTGCTGACGAAAAAGAGAATTTGGATGAGTCTT